ACCCTCCTGGGAGCCTGTGGATGCCTGGAAGTCTGGATCCTGCCACCTGTTTCTGTTCCTGCCTGTTCTGTATCCCTGATCAGGATCGGCTTCCAGTATGTCCTCTGGAACTGCAGCACTTGGGGACATTCTAGGACTGGACTATTAAACCAGGTAAGTGGCCAACTCAGATAATCATCTTCTGTCAGATGATCGTGGTCACTTACCTGTGTTTTTCCTGCAGAGTGTCTGTGATTGAGTGGTGCCCCGCTCCCCATCCTGCAGTGTCCGCAAGCCACAGCTCCGCTTTGTTTTGTTTAATAAACGTTTTGAACTTTCCTACTGACTGTCTCTCCTTGAATACTGTGTCCATCTGTCCACCTTTTATGACGGATTGTAGACAGTTTTTAAAGATAAAACCCCTACAAGTGTGGTGTGCATTTGTATTTAGACCAATCTAGTTTTCAGAACGTACTCAAATTAGTGTGCATTTTACTTCAATGCATTCTGCTCCTATATTGTCACTCAACACAAACACCTTTGTCAGTCATCCTATGTTTGTTTTTTACACCATGCAGTTCTTCACCCTTTCTACTTCTTTGGAAGTGAGTGAATGCACCACTTACTGGCACGGTGTACATATTTTAACACCTATCACAGCTCCTCTGGCTTTACGTTGTTTAATCTTTAAGCTCAAACCATTACCAGAATTGCACATTTTAAGATTAGATTTTTTTTCCCCAATTATTTTGCAGAAGCACATTCAGATTGGACTAAAACATTTCCAGTCTAGACTTTTGGCCACTCTAACATATGACTTTTTAAATCTAGGCTATTGCTCGCTCTCATTGCATTTAGATTTTTTTTTTTTATGTTGCCATTCAAATTCAGAATTTCAAGTGTTTTGAAGCCATAAATAGGTTCTCTTTCATGATAGTCTAATTTTTAGCTCCATCCATTTTTTCATTACCTCATCAAAGACACTGAACAACATGCTTTTGTATTGAAGAATATCTCGCATACACCATGATGTCACCAGTATACCTCCTGGAAGTTCCAACCGCTCTTCCATAAAGGCCAAATTTGTGGAGTGTCCCATTAATAACTGTCCTGTTCACCCACTATCCATCTGAGCTGCGAAATTTGTCTGCAGTTCTTCCTTCCTTCCATCTCCTGATCAGAGGGATTCTCTTTTGGTGGATTTTCCAGTATTTGAAATTGTTTTTTAACCAACCGTGGCTTAAACTTCTCCAAAGCTTTTTTACAGAATGTGCTCTTACAAACCTCTGAGTACTTTACAAACCAGCTGTACTTCTCAGATCAAATTGAACCCAATTTAACTCTACTAACCCGACAACTTCAACCAGTAGTTGGTAGAACTAGATCTTTTTAGTGTTTCATAGTAAACAGGACTTAAAGCTATAGTTGGCAATTTTGGAGCTGGCAAAATTTGCAGATGATGGCTCCACTTAGCATCACCCCCTCTTCCCTCTCCTGTAAATGCTCCATTTAAAGCCACACCCACCAAACTTGAATTTGCAGGCTCTGGGTACTTGGTCGGGTAACTGCCATTGACAGAATTGGTACAATGGTAGATGGATAACAGCAACAGGTGCACCTTAAATCCCATAACAGACTCAAACTAGAGTTAAAAAAAAACATTGTCTAGTGCCACAAAAACTTCAGTTTGATTAGCAACTGCAATATGAGAGTACATTCTATGGAAGCTATGAACAAGAGGATAGTTCAGATATACCCTGGGATTAGCCATGTTCTGGCTAAAAATATAAGATGTCCTTTTCAAAATAACTTCAATATTTAGAACTTTCTTACCCAGATACATTAAGCCTCTATAGAAAAGACCAGTTTGTTGCAGTGGCAGTATCTATAACTTTTCTTCTAACATACATGTGCACAACACTAATATCATTTCAGAGGACCCAACCTATGTAAAAACTCTGAAACTTGCGATGTGCTCTTATATTGTTAAAAATAGACTACCCTTTGTTTACTTTACTTTTAGAGCCCTAGTTGAATTTTTTTATTTTTTTTTATGTCCATGTTACCAGGCTGCTTCTCATTCAACAACTCATTCAATTGTTTTTCTTTTTTGGTACCCCAAGGACACTTGGTGCCCTACACACATTGCATGATGTGGATTGGTGCTGAGCAAAAGCCCGGTTGCCTCTGAGTCAAGCCTGTTTTGTGGTTTGTGTAATCGAGATTTAGGTCCTCTTTCCACGGACACTCTTATAGAACTCAATAGCTCCTGCATAAATCATTTAGATGCAGAAAAAAACACACACTTGATGTGTGTTTGTGTGTGTTAAAGCATACCTGTATTCTTCTTGAGTAAACACAGGAATAACAGATGGCTGAAGGACTGTGATTTCGACCAGAGTCGTACTCTCTTTCACAGGCTCACCATGATCATAGGCTACAACCACCAGCTGTTGGAAAACAGAGGGTGTTATTTCCATATAATACATGGGTACTTGCTACTGCTGCTGATCCTGTTTACACATACATTAGCAATTCACTATAATTTAGGATTTGCATAAACCAGGAGAGGCAAAAAGCTGTAAGGACCGGAAAGATGGTGGCGTTTTACTGTCTAAATCTTAACAGTAATTAATTTTTTTAATTGCAGATCCCTATGTGTATGTTTCCCTCTGTCATATCTGTTTTTCTGTGTGCTTAGTCTTAATTTAATTGGTGGTAGCTAATGTTAACAAGACCCAAAGGAGAAGGGCAAACTCTTAGAGAAATCAATATGAAGTCTATCAGTACTTGATCCAGTCAGAACTCAATGACTTTCAAAATGTGTTTTTCTATTAGTATACAGTGTTCTTAGATCATTAGCATTTAAGAAACGATGCACAACGATTTGGGGTTAGATGTTTTTCTTGGTCCCAGTTGATTTAAGCTGATTTCTATTTATAGTTCTCTCTTGCATGCTGCAGATGTGTTTACAGAAACCCAAAGCTATCACCTTTAGAGAAGTCATTGAGATTTAGCCACAGCTCTTTATGTTTTATTTTTTTGTTGTTATCCAAAACACAAACATGATGTTAAACATTAAGTTTGACTTAACAGGAGCAGGTACGGTTAAATTTATTACTCTTAGTGGCATCTTTAGAGGTCATTTACCACGGCTTAAAGAGAGCTTGCACTATACTTATAGTGATTACATGATTACAGAGTTTTTAAAAAGAGTGGTTTAAAATAAGATACCATAAAGTACGGTAATAGACAGAAAAAGTAGGTAAAATTAGCAAGTGATGATCAAAGTTTGTCTGATGTTGCACCACACTCAGGGGCATGTCAGAGTGCAAAGCAAAGTAAGACATAAACATATTAAACATAGTGTCTAGTGATAATATCTGAAGTAAAGAAAGCCTTCATGCTTTAATCTTCAAAAAGCAAGTCATGTCAAACTTTTAAGCCATTACCAGGATTTAAAAAGACATGACCCAAAAAGGCTTTTTTATTATCTATTTGCTGCTTAATTTCTCTCACTCAATAAAAGCTAAAGTACTCATTGCACTATTACTCCACAGTTTGTCATTTAAATCCTAGACCAGCATAAAATACTGGATAACTTTAATGTGGAAATACTTAGCGTCATTGTCGTGTGGACTGTGACTCTCTCAAACCTTTAACAGGCACCAATAGTCAGCATTTATCTAATTTTTCGCTTTTTTAGAAAGGTTTCCCACATCATACTTTTTTTCACTACCATATGATACTGCAGTTGCAATGTTTTCAATGGAAGTACGTTTTCATCGTCACATGTTTTTTTAAGTGGGAAAAGGAACAGCTTCTTTCACGTTTACTAGGTTTTTTTTTTTTTTTTTTTTTTTTTTTTTTACAAAGATAAAGATCTGCAAGAAAGCTTCAAATTGCTTGATTTCCATGAGTAAAAGTTTTGCCAACCTACAATAAAGGCCATGTGAAGCACAGGAACATAAAGTCTACCACCTAGATCTCTGCAGCTCCTCTAGGATTGGCCTAGGTCAGAAGTTTTGAGATTTATACTTTACACATATAGCCTTTGTTTTCCGCTCTTAAACAAAATATGAATCTGGAAAAATATAATGATAACATAAGGCAAAAAAAAAAATCCCAACTAGAATACCAATTGTTTCTGTACTAGGGCTTTATGTGCATATTTCTCTTCTCGAAACCTCAGTTCTAATATCTACAGATGTTCAAACTATTTGTTACTAAAGTAACAGTGAATATACTTACTCTGAACTTTAAGTTGGGTTCCTCGTTTAGATTCACTCTTGTAACCACATGACCTTTTTCTTCATCTACATCAAAAATACTGGCAGAGTACGGATATGCGTCCTGGTCCACCCTGTAGCGAACTAGACCTGCTGGGGTATTCTACAAAAACAGAAAACCAGAGCCCACATTATCTTTTTAGTTTAAAATCTAGATAGATTTTGCAGTAGAGGATGAGCAGCCTTTTATGTTTTTATTAAAAAAAAGAATTAATTATGGAAGCATGAACTAGCATTAAAAGTGAAATGGCTTTAACAGTAGAGCTAAATGTCACGCAATCTTCTAATTTAAAAACTAATCATGGAAAATAAAGCGAAAATGCAATTCTGGAAACCAGGGGTTCAATAGTCATAAATTAACCTCTAACGTTTTGCTGCAAATAAGCAGCAATTAGAATGAGTAATTTTACACAAAATGGGGAAAAAAAGGAATGTTTTATATTTCTTCTGATATTGTTTTACTATACAAAATTATACAATAATTTCTCTGTAGTGCACAAATCCAAACACACCAACGATAATAACCCAAAGGGTGGCATTTAATAAGCTCCCTGTTATTGCATCACATGCAGTCTGCTATTATTTACTTTGTCAGACAGTGCAAAGAAGTGTGCAGACATTTTGGGGGTAATTTTCAATTGCTTGAAAATTGAAACTTAGAAAATAAATTAAATGAATGAATTTAATGTGATTATATGGAACTGGAACAAATGTATTTAACTCTGTTTTGTTATCTTTACCAATCAGATGTTTAGTTGAGTATCATTTGGAAGGCAACATTTAGATTCAAATTACAGAGAATTTCTCAATTTCTGACCAATCTTTTTTCTTTTTTTTCTGTATGCAAATGTGAGATACTTTTTCTGAGTTCGTCTATTGAGATTGCTCTCATTTGAACCCAAATACACCACTGACTCTAAATATCGCATTAGATCAAATGTGTCAGGTGGGAATGCAACCAGCTCATCACAAACAGGCACCCTCCACACCTTCTAGTAAAGATGTTTAAAAAAAGAAATTATGCTTTAAAACTTTAGAAAAAAATGTTTAATTTAAAAAATGCATAAATAAGTGGCATCCTTATAAGAAGAGAGCTTTTAAAAATATATAAATTGAGGCAAAAACTAAATTTTACTTTTTTTTAAACCTGTAAACGTATAATATTACTAAAGTAAAGGTGTTCAGTCGGTACTTTGATTTAAACCTCTGACTAAGATGGGGAGGATAGAACACAAAACATAAAACAGCATCACTGCAATGACTGTAAATAAAATAAATAAAGATATATTGGTCTGGTTAAGCTTTTTGATTAACAACATTACTGTGTTGGTGAATATTAAGAGGAATTAAAGGTTATTCAATGATACCCACAGATTCAGGGAAAACAATTTTATCATCAAAAGACTTAGGAAAAAATATGCAGATAACAGACACTTAAAGTGAGAGCATATGGAAAGTTTACATTCCAAACAATCATAAATATAAATTTCTTTTTCCTATTTATCATTTTCTGTGAAAGAAAGTAGATTTAATAGAAATAGTACTGTTATGAACAGTATTGCGAAGCTACTTGAAAAACATGTTCATTAAACATTTCTTCTAAAAAAACAGTTTAAAGTGAGTCAGCAGAAGCCAGCAATGAAAAAGTCTTAAAAGCATTTATGCTTCTAAGGTAAAATTTGAATCTGAAGGGAATAAACAACATTTATAACCAGAAATATAGATATATGAGTCTGAAAAAATGCTATTTAGTACCTAGTATAAACCTTGGGGGTAACTTTTAAAGCATAAAACCTGGAGAGTATAATGATGTTTTTTGGCTCAAGAGAATCTACTTTGATGCTTCTACCTGCACTCTGAATCAATTCAGATGATGAAAGAGGACAGCAAGCACATAATTCAAAGGAAGTGAAGCTTTTAAAGAGGCTTATGGCAAAACATCGCAGAGAAAGATTTTGCTTGCAGATTTGAAAATAAAAAAATAAGTTCACAACCTCTTGAGCAGTAATGCAAAGTGAGGATCTTTTGTGTTTGCGTCTGGCCTTTTTTTCATAAATATTTATTCGGCAGGTGAATTTAAAAGCTCACCAAGTGGCTTATACTGTATATGTATTTATATTTTATAAAATTAAGGTCATTTTTCACACAGCTTGCACAATTTAGATCTGCATTTAAAGAAATATGTGTGAAAATGAACGAAGCTTTACCCCTATAACTATCTGTGTCATATTTTAAAGCTGTGGAACAAATTTCAGGTCACTTAAACATGACACTCCTCAATAAGCTGGTCTCCATTTTACAAGCAAAATAAATCAGCACAAGTGAAAAATATTGGTTTGTTCTTAGAGTTAGGTTATACGAGCTATTGCTGAGCAAAAGAAAGACAGCAAGGCCCCAAAAGGGGAAACGAATACAGATTTAAAAACACACTCTCACAGACGGATGATGGCCATCATTATCACATAATATTCCATTCCAATGCACAATTTTAGGAGCAAGCGGAAGAAAACGGTTTGATTAAATATGAGCAGCTGCAAATACTCACCGCAGGGTCAGAGTCATTGGCCATCACTGTGGTTACAATGGTTCCCTTGACAGCATTAGGTGCAACCATGCCTCTGTACACCGGCTGGCTGAATGCTGGAAAGAAATCATTCATGTCCTAGAAAATGATCCAAGAAAAATAAAATGGGAATGTCAGCAAACTATGCCTGAAAAGTTGCAGATGTTAATATTAGAAATAGCATTGATATAAAGTGTAACTGCTTAATCTTTTTTAACAGGTTTATTTTTTAAACTGTGTTGGTTTGCCTTTAGATCTCTATGGTAGATAAACCATAAACTTGCTGGGGAGTGGCGGCCCAGTGGTTAGGGCATAGAGCTTGAAATCCTGAGGTTCTGAGTTCAAGCCCCACTCCCACAGATTGCCACTCTGGGTCCCTAAGCAAGACCCTTGACCTCATACTGCCCCCCGGCCGCCCCACAATGGCAACCCAACTGCTTCCCAAAGGGCATGAGTTAAATGAAGACGCAAATTTGCCCAATGTGAGATCAATAGAGTTCAATTATTTTTTTTCTTAGTATTATTTGCTAAAATTAAAGCAGTATCATGGAATTTAGAAAAATAAAACAATTTTTCATTAAACATAAATCATAAAGTAGAACATGCCTTTATCAGTCAAAAAAATAATACTCCACATCACCCTGAACGCACCATCATGCCTCCTCCAAGAAATGAAACACGGAAGAACAGCTTGGAGCTAAAGCAGACAGATATGAAAGTATGACACTAGTTTCCTCCGAGGAAGTTTCTTTTGACTGCAAATGTGCTGCATTGTCACTCAGACCTGTTCAAACAAATGTAAATCAGCAGTGAGAAGTCTGAGAAAGACCACCTGTGTCTATTACCGGTATATTAGCAACAGATATGTACGCTGGCGGCTCAGTAGGTGCTCAATGTTTTTGACCCACTAATTAGTCTAAGTCTCTGCAGATTTACTATCTTTCAAACACCTTTTATCTCAGGTGGAAACTGTTAGTCCTCAAATATGCGCTTAAAAATTGCAAAGTTACTTTGTAAAATTAAACTATGCTCTTAATTTAGCTGGAAATGTAACCTTTTTATATATTAATGAAAAAACTATTGAAAAAAGAGGTTTTGATGCGCTCTGCACATTTGACTACAGAAATGTACTTAATTTAAAATGAATTTATATTCTTTATTAGTTTTGGTTGACCAATAGATCTTTATGTCATGTTCTAACTCAGTCATGATACTCAGGATTATAGTGTATTATCTTTGTACTGTGAGGTTAAACAGAAATTTAATGCGCGATGTGCCCAAAAAGTCAGCATTTTGAGTTGGAGAGTGGAGATATGAAGATCTTCACTGGAAAAGGGATTTTACTTTTATCAACAGTAGCTCAACTTTCTTACTTTGACTGTAGCAGTTCTTTAAGATATATATATTATAAAGCTATGCTGACCATCCATGCTGCTAAATTACAGCATTTTAGCATCCACACTTCTCCGAGCGGATTCCACATGGCCTGATTTCCCAAGTTTAAGACACTAAAAATATATTTGGACTGATTGCAGCTACTGTCTTCCTTTTAGCCTCAGATCATCAAACCAGATGCTTCTGGTGATCCTCACAAAGGCTCCAAGGCTCTGGAACTACTTGCTCTTTTTAAAAATCTTAAGATGTATTTAGCTAGACTAGCTTTTCCTTAGCAAGTTGCTTGTATCTCTTCTTTTATTGTTGTGAAGCATTTTGTGATTTTTATTTCTGAGTACCGACTTGCTAAAAGCACATTTTCAACATAGGAAAGGTTAAAGCTATCTATGTTCTTTACTTCATTTCTGTTAAGAAATTGTAATACACTTTACTGTAATGTGGTTGTCCTTCATAAAAAATATGTATAATTTGATAAAAAAAAAAAAAAACCCTTGAAAAGCAGCTGAAACATTTGCTATGGTCTTACACTGGGATTGTGCTAAAGGAAATCTTATGAACTCAGACCCTTGATATGCAAATAAACTGTAATTCATCCTCTTTGCTGTGTTTTTGTTTAATTGCCCTTACAGGTGAGCAGCAGCAAATAGGAAATCGTGTTTATGATGAATATGTCCTTATTCTAAAGTCCCAAAGCGTTCAATTCAAATAGCAATTCTATCTACTATATAGATAAAACTATTTGTTTATAAATGTTGTATAAAAGAATACATGACCTTCTTTCCCTCAGTATCAAAAAAAATAAACTTTTCTGTAAAACATCACTCACTGAGAATTACATAGAATATTTGTATCTGAAAACATTTTCTTAAACTTGATTAAAAAATAGATTTTCATCCACTAAGAATAAAATGTCTTTCGAATATTCTAAAAAGCCCATATGATAAAGTCAAAGTTGTTTGAAGCTTTTAAGGATTTGATATATTTATATTCTTAAGGCTACAGCTAAAACACACATTTTGCAATCAGTGAATATCAAAAAATGATAGAATTTATAAAAATAAGCACGGTTCCTTTGCTTCAATCCTAAACCCCTGCTATAAATCCTCTGGACTCCCTCTACAGAGGGAAATTTGAACTATCGTCTTTGGAATTAGACTTAGACACAGACTTTATCATTTTGTACAGTGTATACAAAACAAAATTTCATTCAGTACAGCTCTCAGACATTTTTCATTTTTTAAAGTGCAGCCGTGATAAGGGTAAGAGATAATATAAACATACGAGTGTATATTCGAACATTCAGGGTTTTTCTTTATTTTTATTTGTATATTTAATTAAATATACAAAACATTTATCATGTTGCCCTTCCTGGCATTATTTTGGTTTTCAGCACAAGTAGCAAGAATGTTAGAATGTGACAAGATTATGTACTTTAAAAACACATAAAATAGTTTCTTATCATCAAGGTGTCCTTCCATCAAACTAACAGAATAATCTAAAATGCCTCAGTAGGAGCTTTACCCAAAACTGAACATTTTAGTCTGAAACAAATTAAAAGAAAAGATTTCCATCGTTCCAACGGCTCACTTTCCTTATTTTTAGTCATAGGAGTGTTTAAAACAGCAAAGGAAGCAGAGCGTTCAGTTATCGGACTCCTGTCTGTTGGAACCAGCCTCCACCCCTAATTAGAAAAACAGATCAGTGTCTACTTTGCCCAGTGGTTTCTACAGGATGGGGGAATGCAGTGAAGTCAAGATCAAATGAAATCTGCTGGTTTCCTGTGATCTTTTTTTTTTTTTTTACTAATTGGTCTGAACTTTTATTTTTAAAATGAAATGAAAGTTTGCCCTTACTGGACTCTGGATGGAAAATGACAGTGAGTTTGTCTGAAACCAATGAGATTAGATTGTCCCTCTTATTTTAATGGAAAGATTTCCAACGTTATCATTGTTTTGTCTCAATATAGATAAAATTAATGGACTTTCTTAATAATGCTTTATGAAAAAGTGTTACGGGTAATAAGACATAGATATTTGAATTTATTTGAATTTGGTCAAAAAAATTTAAAGAAAAATAAATTCACTGCTTGTTTTTATCTTAACCTAAAATATATACCTAACAAAAGTTGGTATGCAGTTTATACTAAACCCCTTAATCAATATTTTTTCAGAATACCTTTTGTTGCAAACAAAACAGAAACAGAAATATTACATTAAAAAAAGAAGTACAATTTACTTAGATATAGTAACTTTTTAAACATAGAAAAAAACCCTCAATTTTACTCAATAAAATCTAAGTGCATTTTACTTACTAAGATGAGCAGAGTTAACAAACTCAAATACATTTTTCTTATCAACAAAACATGTACTTTCCTAGTTTCCTAGTAAATGTTACTCAACTCATATTGTATCCAATTCCAAAGCTTAAAGGAGAAGTTCGGTTTTTTACACTTTAAGCCCATTTTCTGTAGTGTCCAGGATGAAATCGAATGATCGACACCAAAAGTTTGACAATTGCTCCTGTCTCTGCTTTTTGGCTCATTTAGAATCACCCCCTGGCTGCTTTAGAATGGCTTGCATAGAGCATGTCCGATAATGTCCTTAAAACAACCTTAAACGTTCTTTTTTTTAAATATGCTACTCACCGGGTCGTCAGCGCTGTTCAATGACGTTCCAAAAAAAAGTTTCGTAAAGAAAAAACGTTCCTGTAGGGTTTTATTTAGCATTTTGTAAATCCCATTGAGTTCTGTAGGAATAGTCAATATTCCGCTGCCACCGGAAACGGAAACGGGGCCTGTTTACACAGTTGTAGTCTTTTCGCTTCACTCTGTGTACTCCGACGTCGAGGTGCTAACGTCTCTGTTAAACACTTTAAAAAACTCTGAAAATGGAATACGAAAGGTGGATTCTTGATTCTCGACGTCGGAGTACACAGAGTGAAGCGAAAAGACTACAACTGTGTAAACAGGCCCCGTTTCCGTTTCCGGTGGCAGCGGAATATTGACTATTCCTACAGAACTCAATGGGATTTACAAAATGCTAAATAAAACACTACAGGAACGTTTTTTCTTCACGAAACTTTTTTTGGAACGTCATTGAACAGCGCTGACGACACGGTGAGTAGCATATTTTAAAAAAAGAACGTTTAAGGTTGTTTTAAGGACATTATCGAACATGCTCTATGAAAGCCATTCTAAAGCAGCCAGGGGGTGATTCTAAATGAGCCAAAAAGCAGAGACAGGACCAATTGTCAAACTTTTGGTGTCGATCATTCGATTTCATCCTGGACACTACAGAAAATGGGCTTAAAGTGTAAAAAACCGAACTTCTCCTTTAAGTAAATAGAAATTATTTTTCTTTGCTTGATTTTTATTCAATGATTAAGTCATTTTACTCAACTGATCTAAATCTTGAGGGTTTATTATTTTCATTTTTTTCATTTTCATTATACACAATTCATTCAATACAATTAAATAAACTAAAAAGTAATCTGGTCAGATTCAGACTGCTCTACTGTGCATTTGCTAAAACAAACAGGCAAACATCCATCCATCTCCCCCTGATTATTCCAGAACGGTTGTAGTGGTACAAGTTAAATGCATACCCATTTTAGTATAGAATGCAAAAATAGTCCACTTATTTGCCTTAATAACCTACATTGTAGCTTTGGATTTATGTTTTGCCTCATAGTAAATCTGTGTTAGAAAACTTTGACCAGTCTGTTTGATTGTATTTGGCTGGATTTCACCTCACAGTATGTCTAAGAATACCTCAGAATTTATGCAGCTGCTTCTGTTCTGTGTCCCATCATCAATGAACACTAGTGAGCCAGTGCCACTAGTGTTAATTGTGCTGAAGAGGAGCACTGGCCTGTGCCGTATGGTGAACCCTCTTTATTTACTTTTATCCAGTCTTCTCTGTATAGCAGATCTGGATATTGACAGATGGCTGTTGTGATGGAAATTATCTTTAATAGAGTTAAGTTTATGAACATTTGTGCTGATATTAATTCTCGATAATATTGCTCTAACAGCCAATAAGTGATATTTACTGATTCTGTTTACTAAATACATCCATACGATTTTGACACCATGAAAAAAACAAAATGCAGACACGTTCTCTCTGGTTCAGATAAACACCCGTAATTCTTTGCCACATCGCCATCACTTCCCCTGTGACAAAAACAAGCACCACATAACTAATATGCTCCCCTCCCCCTGCTGAAAAAAAACTAGATGGAAATATATGAGCCCAGTTTATTGGACCGATACCAATAACTTTCAAAATGACTAACATTCGTCAATACTGATGTCTAATGCCGATATATCATGCACCTCTACCCTTTACCAAAGACCTTATTCTGCTGTCATCCACCACTATGGTTTTCTGTGGGAGTCCAGGCATTTTTGCACCAATGTGTCAATGCAAAAATGAAGTATATGTGTTCCCCTCTTGATCAAGATGAACCAAGATGACACTCCTAAGATTGTAGTACTGTACTGTAATTTCTTAGATGTTGTTTTTTACTCTTTTGGTAGCTTTTTTTCACCTGCATGGGGTGTTTTGTTGCCCGCATGCTTTCTTCAAAACAAATTCCTTCGAATGCATACCTCAAAACCTGTTTAGGCCTTTTATCTGCCTAATTAAAAGTGGCATAAAATAGCCAATTATCCATCTTCAAGAGCTGAAAGTCATACACTCTCAAACATCTTAGTCCAACTGAATATGTTTCAGCAAGAAGAGAAGAAAACAAAATTTTTCGGTGTGAAAATAGATTGGACCTGACTGTAGGTCTTTCTAGCATGTACAGGGATGACATTTTGAGAAATAAGGTAAAATACCATAGATATATCAAGATGTTTGATGTTGAAGAATGACCAAATGCAAACTAGTATAAGGGCTCTAAATATTTAGGCTTTGTAAATTCTACTTTACATTTAAACTTTCTTTTGTCTAATCTTTTAGAACTTACTTGCTCTTTTGTGCTTTTTTTGTGCTTCAGAAAAACCAAACTAGAAACCCCAACCAAACACTCACACACACACACTTACACACTCACCAATATTCTAACAGTAACCAGGGCAAGCCCAGGAGGCATGGTTCCCTCCACATCGACAGCCTCTATGGTGAAAGTGTATGATGGTTCCGAAGCGGCCAGAGCTTCAAAATCCAGAACGTTGAGAACAGACAGCTCCCCCGTCACAGGGTCAATGTGAAAAAGTCGTTTTACATCTGGATCCAGGCTTTCGGCTCTGATTCGATATGTGATGTTTGAGATGAGGTCAGCATCTGTTGCCTTGAAAAAAATAATACAATAAAAAAGGTTTAATCACTGTTGTGTGGTGTAAATGTTTTTTATGTTTTGGCAAGAAAGATTTCAAAACAGTGCTTTCATTGAGCTCTGTGTTGAGGTGGACTATTCAAAGCGCCTGTGGCAGTAACCTTTAATGTTCTGGTTATCCACCGATGTTCCATGTCATATTTCTTTTTTATTTTTTCTGCTTTGCAGGTATTTAAATGGGTCTGCTTTAGGGAATCCTGCCCTTTTCAATTTTCTATCCCTCAACAACTCTTGCAATAATTTTGACTTTATGACATTTCCAGTGCTACCTGGAATATGAAATGTAAGCACTTTGGTGATCTCAAAGAAAATTTAGGTGAGTGACTCTAAGTAACAATATTATGAGTTCTTTGGAATAGATTTATGACTTGGAGGGTTTGGAGTGAGTCAGAACATTAATCTTCAGTCGCTTTATTTTTTTATATCAAGCAGCAATAAATGTTTGTTTTGGACTGTTTTAAGTGGAAGTAAAACAGCAGTAAAAAATTGAACCAAATGATATATTTAGAAAATGTATAACAAGCCTATTTCAAGATGAAATATTGCTTCTACAAAGTATGCTGCTTTATACCCTCCTCAAAAAAGTAAAGGGAACACACAAATAACACATCCTAGATCTGAATGAATGGAGTATTCTCATTGAATACTTTGTACTGTAAAAAGTTAAATGTGCTGACAACAAAATCACACAGAAATTCTCAATGGAAATCAAACCTCCACGTTCCTGTATAACATTTCTACAACTCCTGGGCATACTTCTGATGAGGTGGTGGATGGTCTACTGAGGGATTTCCTCCCACACCTGAACTTAAACAATCAGCTAACTGCGGGACAGTCTATGGTACAATGTGACATGGGTGGATCGGATGAGGCATGATATCTCAGATATGCTCATTTGGATTGAGGTTAGGGGAACGGGCATGGGACACTGCATAGCTTCATTGCCTTCATCTTGCAGAAACTGCTGACACACTCCAGCCACATGAGATCTTGTATTGTCCTGAATTAGGAGGAACCCATGGTCAAAAGCACCAGCATATGGTTTCACAAGGGGTCTGAGGATATTATCTCGGTACCTAATGGCAGTCATGCTACCACTGATGAGAACATGGAGGGCTGTTTGGCCTCCTAGGAAATGCCTAAGAAGGTTCTGTTGCTGGGTTGTTGCCCTCCTACGGACTCCTATACTTCTGCTGTACTGGCCTGTCTGTAGCGCCTCCAGACTCTGACAGACACAGAAATATTTTTGCCACAGCTCACATTGACATGGCATTCTGGATGACCTGCACTACCAGAGCCACTTGTGTTGGTTGTAGAGTCCGTCTTATTGCTACCACGAGTGTGAAAATATACTGTTGTATTAAACTTATAGGTGCAAAATAATTAATTTATCTCCTGAAACCATGTACTCCTTCAGACAGATTGCGTAGCCCAGCAATTAACTGTTCTTAAAAGTATATGCCTTTTTGTTTTCATATCATTCATATATGTTTTACCATTTGAATTATATGATAATAAATAATATCTTCTATTCTTATTCATTGAGGTGAACTTTACATAAACGATGGAATTTCCAAGCTTAGCCAAAGACTCACCTTTAATTGTAATATGACAGTGTCCTTTGGGCTATTTTCAGGTAGATTGACATTATAAGACTGTTGAGAGAATATTGGGCTGTTGTCATCCACATCCAAAACGGTCACAGAGAGGGTAAGTCTGGATCGCCGAGGGTCCACTGCACCATCTGATGCTTCAACAATCAGGATATAGTGGCCTTTCACCTTCATGGTAAGAGAGTCATAAGGAAAAAAATATAGAACAGGGTAGTATCTTGAAAATCATTTCAATTATTTCTGGATGAGATTTATCCTGTATAAATCAAATAAATAAAAATAGAAAATGAAATGCAGATACTTAACTTTGCTAATTACATATTTGCCACCAATTATGTTGAATAAATTATTTCAATAAATCTGTGACAGCCTCTGACCTCTCTGTCCAGAGGTGCTGCAGTCCTGATGGCTCCAGTGGCATTAATGGAAAACAGCGTCTGGTGGTTCACAAGCCTATAGTGGACTTGGCCACTTGCTCCCAGATCTGGATCTGTTGCCTAAAGCAAGTTACAGGAAAAAAAGAAACAAAAAGTTGCAAAGAAAACAAAAAGAAAGAAGTTAGTAACAGAAGAAAATAGCAACTTTGAATGCTCTTTTACTTGATCAAGATAAAAGATGTGTTCTTAATTACATCAATCCAATTTTCTAAGCTTAGTTTAAAAGTCCGAATGTTAGTACGAAACGATTTTATAACTGAAAAGAAAAAAAATCTGTTGAGATTCCATTAAATTCAGCTTTTTATTGTCATTACACTGTCACAAGTACGGAGCAATAAAATTAACTCGCTGCAGTTAACCCATCCCCTTGTGGAGCCATGGGCTGCCACTGCGCAGCACCCGGGGAGTAATCTGGGGTTAAGGTTGAGCCAGAGTGTTAGTCTGTGGGAATGGATTTCAAACTCACAACCTCAGGATTCTAAGCTCTACGCCCTAAACACTAGGGCACTCCCAAGATTTTTCCCTTGCAATTTTTTTAAAATAGACTGCAAAACAAACCCAAAGCCTCATTGAACTGAGTTCCAGCTGCTATTTTAATGAGATCTTTTACCATGTTTTACAAACATAGAGACATAAGATAAATGTTTTCTTCCTGATAATGATCCCAAAAAGGTTTCCCTTTGATGAAGTTGACACAATTAGTAATATGTTGCTTTACAATAAGAAAATATCCAACTTCTGTGAGGTCAATCACATCCTTGCTGCAATTAACTTCAGTAACTAGAACTTCATCAAACCTGTCTTGACTTTCATTTGTCTTCTGTTTATTACATTATAAAGCTAGAAAACAGCTATCTCAAATTCTTCTAACTTTTATTTATTGTTGCCTTCGCTCTTAGTGGGAGTTAATTATTTAGATCTTCAGAGTGTTGCACAGCTGATATAATGAGACTCAAGCTGCTGCTAATTGTTAAAATTAGGTTTGAGGAGTCAGAGGGTTTAAAGTTTTGTAAATATGTGCTAGGTAGCCTTTCAAAGTGATAACAGAATGTGCTGCTGCCTTTAAAATGCTATTTAAAGCGTAAGATCTTGGTAAAACTTGCGTTAGCTCCAGTTCGTACTTTAAAAGTTTTTTTTTTTCTCTTTTACTTTCAATTTCAACTTAAAATTAGTTATAGGATAAACCTTATTAAGGATTTAAAATGCTCTGGTTATTTTATTTCAAGTTTTTTTCCCCAGCTCATCCATGTAAATATTCAAACTTGTACAGTTTTGGTCAGAAGTGTACAGACACGTTATAGGGGAGTGGTGGCCTAGTGGTTAGGGCATTGTGCTTGGAATCCAGACTTTCTGAGCTCAAGTCCCACTTCCACAGACTGCCACTCTGGGTCTCTGAGCAAGACTCAGACCCCTGCAAGACCCTTGCTCAGTGGCAGTTAAGGGTCTTGCTCTTGCTGCTCTTGCCAACCCCACACTGCTCCCCGTGCACCACACAATGACAGCTCACTGCTCCCCAAGTGGATGGGTTAAATGCAGGGACTTAATTTCATTGCTCTGTTCCTGTGACAATGTAATGACAATAAAAGTAAAAAAAAAAGGAAAAAAAAAAAGGAATTATATGACAAGAGGTAAAATGATGGGCAGTGGTGTCCGATTTTGAGCTTTTTAAGTTTTAATTCTGCCAAGAAAGGCTGAATGTTGTACTCTTCACTGACTAATTAACAATTTTAGTATTTTCTATGTAATAAATGTATTAGACATTGTGGTACAAAACACCAAAATCATGTCTAAAATGATGCAGGTTTGCCACATCAGGCAAAAGTAGCATAAATTGAGAATTAACTAAACACATTTTCCTGTCTCATTGCCCAGATCATTTTGTTGACACTAAAATTGCTTCTCAGGGCTCTGAAATTTAATTATTTTGCATACTTCTTGTCTATCTTGTTTTATTCTAAATTAATCTTGAAACTATAAAATCAGAGCTGGATGTAATCCTATCAGCCACTAAATATCAGCAAATCAAAATAAAATTCTAAGGTATTCTGAAATTCTAATGTTAGCCTGTTTGACCATTTCCCATTATTTTTCCATTTAGCTCATGGTTTTGGGTGACTTAAAATTATTTTAAAATATTCCTCAAATTTGATGCACTGTGCTATGATGCAACTCTGGCAGCGGAAGACTTTCTAAGCAGAATGATAACTACTGTCTGACTGTTGAATAGGTGCACTTGTGTTCAAGTCCTCACCATAACCAATTCCAACTTTGGTTCAACATGGCCAATTAGTGAAAATCTTGTCCCTTCTTAGTGTAAAGTGTACCCTACACATATTAATTATAGGTAAGGCACAATAAACCACAGTTTGCAGTCAATTCTTGTTAAAGTTGGTTCAAGTTCAACAAGTTTGTTGTCTAGAATCAATCCTCCTTGAGAAAAGGAGGTACTGCAGGTACATCCTTTAGATATATGTTCAATATGAAATATAATGAGCGTTTATAAACATATGATCTCAACGATTGCCAGTTAAAACCTGTTGTATATCCAAGCTACTGTGATAGAAAAACATCCGTTGACATTTGCAGTACTACCTTTACTGTTTTGACCCCAATCTCTAAAGTCTGCCATTCAGTGATAAGCCTACTTTGCATATGGAGCTTTTTTTATGTGTCTCGTAAGGTTAATGTAGACAAGAAAAACTAATTAAATATTTACTTCCTAAAAGAAAAAAGGCAGGATGCAGCTGGTAGAGGTCTTATTGTAGATAGGCTGGTGGGTGCTTAGAGGAGAGGGATCATTATGTGCCCATAGATTCTGCTTCTGTTTAGTAATGCAGAACACACCCGCTCAACTGACCTAGCCTGGAGGAGCGGGCAAATGCATGCAACCAATAAAATGTGTTTTATTCGTATCCCTTAGATTATTCATTTTATTCAAATGGGTAATAAGGATACAGTTACGGCTTTACAACTTCCTATTCAAACTTTATTTTACTGTCCACCTGGAAAAATGCAAATAAAAACATGTTAGCCAAGAAAATACTATATTATCCAAAATGATGCAGGTTTTACTACATCTCATATATATTATACTTTAGGTCTTATTTTCTATCTTCTTGTTCTTCATTTTATATTAAATGAGGTTCGCTCTTTTTGAATGAATAAAATTTTGTTTAATAGTTTTACTGCCACATATAAATAAACATCTGCAATCAGAGATCAATATTTTGTGACCTGACTGATAAAGTTTACACACTTAACAAGTTGATATCACAACTGTGTATTACTTGTACCAGCTTTATAATGCATCCCCCTGCAAACACATAGTGTTTTGGCTTTAGTCAGACAAAACTTTAAAACCAGTGCTCTATAAAATATCTTTCCTCCTCTCTATCCTGATTATTTCCCTTTTTTCCTAGAGGATCAGGAGTTATTTCACAGCAAAAGCTAAATTTGCAAAAAGTTAATGAGGCAGTACTTTCAATTTTAACATGATAAAAAAAGGGCATGGCAAAATGTCCTTTCCCTTTTGTTGCACTCCTACAATCAGACTATCCTTCTGTATCTATTCTGCAGTCAAACCAAGATTTCCTCTGAACATAGCACTTTTCAACTTGTAAAATAAGGTGGGGAGAAAGTGACAAATTGCTAGCCCGTGTTCCTCTCCCCCTCGTTGAATGTTCATCCTGTGCAATCAGCACTCTGGCAGCATTTAAATGGATAGGACCACAGGAAAGGACACATTAACATGGTCTAGTGTGGTTTTGTGTGCATGGCTACTTCAGGCTTTAGTCACACCAAGTATTTCAAGAGTTAAAAAATAATTGCCTTACTTGCTTTTAACTAAAGAACAGTATATACATACAGTACGTACATGAATATGTGTCTTTAAGGACCTATTCGAGCTGTAGGTTGTAGGAGACTGAGATTTGTCCTTGCAGTCTAAATCTAATTCAAAGGGCTCTTTGATGGTTAAGATGTGGATTCAGGGGCTGGGGGATCTTTTGTCTGTAAAAATCCTGTCCATTATTGCTTTTAATACCTTCAAAGCAATAGGAGATTTTCATGACGATCTTCAATCAACCAATGTTTAGATTATTTGGGCAACATTATGATATTCAAAACAAAGGAAAACACATAAGGCAGAAGGCAACTTTCATCATCACACACTGGAATTAAAGCAAACTTTCAGCATCTGATACCTGTGAGAACCCTTTGGCAAAGACGTGGGGACTAAAAAAGAAATGCCATCTGGGTACACTTAAAAAGTAAATAAAGATAAATAAAACATGCAAGGATATCTTTATAAACTGAATGTAGAATTAATTATAAGCAATGCAATTTCATATTGTAGAGATAGAACAACTAAAAAGCAAAACAGTTTTTTCTTTTTTGTTGTTTTTTTGGGTGTAAACAGGTAAAGAAGAATGATTTTTCTCTTATACTAATAGGATATTCTTCCCTTGAAACTTACAAAGTACCAACCCAAACTGAAGAAAGAATACTGTTTTATCTGTGGGTGCAAAGTGTGAGAATTATTTATTTATTTTGTTTGCTTTCTCTGTATATTAAAATACTCTACTCACATGTAGATTACACAAATAAAAAAACCTGCTTCAGAGAGCTATTAAAAAAGTTTAGGTTTGTTCTTACTCGTTTACTTATCTCATCACTTAAAACAAAAAAAACATTTCATTAACAGCAAGTATGATTTTTTCATACAGTTGTAGCCCTAATTGCAAATCACCGATTGATGAGGTTTGGGTCTGCAGTGTTAACATGTAAAAATAAATCCAACTTTATCAGTTGTTTTATACCCCCATTCTCCAAAGGGTTCTAAAATACTCAATATATACTGGCAAAATGCACTGCCAGTTTTATAACTAAAGGTAAACAGTAGCTTAAATTGATAATTTATTATGTCATTTCTCACTATTGCTATTACATAGATAATTACTGTGACCTTCCAGCTCAATACTTTGCAAAGAAGCACATACACCTGTGATTTAAAGAGCTTTCAATTTTGCAGGTCGCACCAAAGACCTTGTAGGAGCACAGAT